TGTCAACAAATGAGGGAGATGCGGACTACTACAACACGACCACGCGCTCTACCAACCGTACATCGGAGGCACGAATGAGCATACCAGGAATTGCTACCCGTGGATACATTGAGGGGAGAAGCAAAATTCTCTTCATACCCTCAAATGAAACAATCATCGGTAGCAATGGGGCAACACATGTGTACTAATGTGCACGTGTTCCTGGTAGTTACGCTTGTTACACCCATCAGGAACTCTCTACTGGGAAGAGGGAGTTGATGGATTCTCCTTCAACCAGTACGAGTTGAGATAATTCTCTGCAGCAGCTGTCGCTGTCGCCATCGTCGCTACCGCCGCCGCCGCCGCAGCAGAAGACTCGACACATCAGTCATATCCAAACCCGGATGGATAATTCTGCGCTCAATGGAGATAATGCTTGATTATATTCTAGTGGATCGTAAAAGTCCCGGCCAGGCAGAGTACTATGATTTCCAGCTAGTGGGAAAGAGTCACCACTATGCAAAGAAACAACATGGCAATGCCATATACCCTTAAGAGCAGGAGATATTTGCTCTTATGAGGATGGGAGGACTACGGTACTCAACCGGTATACAAGTCCTCATGGCCATTGACAGTTGTATCAGTCATATAAACCTGCGTCGCAACCAATCCATCAAAAGCACCAACTCCACAGAAGCAGATAGACGTGAAATGGAGCACCGACGCCACTCAGGATAGTGGAATCCGCGTATCTCCAACAACACCCCTTTTTGTCAAAATGGAGCAGACTTCAACACCGATGCTGAGTAGCTGAGACATCTTCGATATCAACGCTATGTCAAGGACAGTAACAGAATGAGACAATACATGATGGCACCAGAAGACCTATCCCAATATGTGCGCCCAGACACCGATGCCTACCGATGGCCTCCGTGCTAAACTGGAAGTGCATAAGGTCATACTGGATTGGCTGTCACCAATGCCCATTTGGAAATGGGAGAGGATTATTTGGGAATCGCCCTAATATTCCCGGATGTCCTAAGCCATCACCGTAGGATATCTACGCAGCAGAAATTCCTTGCTTGAGCAACCACCGAGGGAAAATACCTTGGCGCCGATTCTAGAAGATACCAGCTCTGCGTGTATGGTACCAATCCCTCGCATGGTTCTAAACACAAGGGGTATGCTGAGCAGCACTTTGCATGCACTGTTGTACTCAAGGCAGTGTGACTCAGCAGACCGCGTGGTGGAAGGGGTCACTACTAGTCATTTTGCTCTCCATCCCGCAGCACAGTGATGCCGCAAGGGTACATCTCGCGACAAGACTATGGCATGGACCAGCATTCGATAGAAACTGCATGTATCTGATACGACGCTGCTACAGAAGCAGGACTATGACACGACTGCAACACCACCAACACTTAGTCATCTTCATACGTGGACGGGATGCGAGGAACACCGGGATGTGCTACCAGAGACTCAACGCATGCTACAGTGTGCCAGCTAGAGCACCCACCGAAAGGACAGTACATCTACTCTTCCGCTACAACATCTCGATCACGATCAACGCCATCTGCGTACCACCTACAGACGCAACCCGCTCACACCACAATAACAAACAAATCCATTTCATCACCGTTGTCCATCAGCTCTAACACCGAACACACCACTTGGATATCCAACAGCAGCAAAAGCACTTGGCTACCCATCACTACAGTTATCCACACCGTAATCTCGACATCAGCCATCTTCCATCCAAGCTTCAACCTTGCTTATGCGGGACTATCCTTGTTGAAGCAAATGTGCCTTCAATCACCTTCCGCTTCCGCCTACCAGCCACTTGGAAGATCCATAACGCCTTCCACTTAAACCCTATCAAGACCAAACACGCTCTACACTGAATGCCAACCACCGTCGCCGCCCGTGTTCAACCACGCCATGGGTTAACTACGTGCTCGGACACCGTCGTTGCCAGAATGGCACTCTGGAGCTTCTTCTTTGCTGGACGGGTTATGATACTTCTGAGGCTGGGTCTCTGAGTTCGACATGGGTAACGCCCGTCGTCCTCTTTGCGACTACCTTGTTAAGCAGGGTGTTACTTTTACCACCCAGCTTTGAGGGGGGGAAGTGTGAGAGTACGACACCGTTAGACCAATTTCCCCTTTCCATATTTCCTTTCTATTTCATTCCTCTTTTTATCCTGATTAATTTGGTCTTTATCTCATCTCATCTGGTTTCCTATTCCTCCTCTTCCATTATCCTATGGTCTATCCTGTTATTATAATTATATCACCGACCAGGCTCGGGATGTACTGGCGCGCTATATCTAGCATAATCCTGCCATAATCCTTTAAAGCCACTAGCCTCGCGTGGCTATACGCAGGGTGATTCTATTTCTAGAAGGGTCTATTCCCTTTGGATAGGATAAACCTGGTTACCTGATGTACTATGGAAGTATAAAAGCACCTTGTACTGGTTGATAGTGGAAGATTGAGCAAACCTTATTCGATCCTGTGACACAGGGGCTAGCGAGCTCATGCTGGCGAGCTGGTGCTGGCTAACGTAGGTGAGCTGGCACTGACGAGTTGGCGGGCTGGCTGGCGTTGGCGTCAGGGACGAGATACGATCGAGCGGGGGGGGGGGGGATCGGCGTCTAACGAATGCGCCAATGTGGTGCGGGCTAGCGGCGGCTGGCGCTGGTCGGCACTAGCTGGTGGCGGCTGGCGCTAGCCGACGCGAGCTACGCGACGAACAGAGGAGGGCGGGGAGGGGATGATCTACGAGGCGTGCAACTAGGGGCGAGGCATGCTAGGCTAGGGTGTGCTAGGGCGGAAGCGTGAGTAGAGGGCGAGACCCAGCACAAGATGCCATGTTAGAATGTCAAGAGAAAATTGACTAAGGGAGAAAGGTTGAGGGTTACAAAGGTGGGAATGTACCCTCTAAGAACTGACCTAACTAAGGCTATAACAAATATACTGTACCTAGCATAGACAATTATATTTGTTGACACAGATAAATCAGAGTCACTAATTTGTTTACGCTGATTTTAAAACTGTTGTACACTACACGTCAATAAATGTCCTGCATAACCTCCTCAACCTCATCCACCGAACTCCTTCACTTTCCTCGTGCCCTCTTAATACTTGGGCTTGGCATGCCAGGAGCTCTCTTAGAGTAATTCCACACCTTGGGTCTGACCCGAGGCTGACTCGCGGCTGCAGGAGCCGCGGGGTTTGCATACCCAACTTTGGGCCTTGTGTTTCTGACACGAGCTCCAGAATGCCCCCTCATTCTGCTCTAGCTTTCAGTGTGCTGGCGAAATCACATAATTTCATGCCACCCAAGACCCAGCTCTGGCTACGAGTGTGTTCATAGTGAAATTTCCTGGAATTTTTTTTTCCTGACGTCGGCAAATTCTACGCGAGATGTAGCGCAAATACGTGTTCAGAGTGCACTATGTAGGCCCAATAAAATTGAATTTATTGGGCCGACGTGGTAGTACAGGTAAACTTTCAGGGATGGGGCGGATAGGAATTGGGGCGGGCCGTATCGAAATTGCAGGGAGGGGAGGGATGGCAATCGACACCATCCACGTGGCAACCTCGTGAAGGGCTAATGGGCGCCCTCACACACACAGCCCGCGGCAGACATCGGCAATTTTTCTGAAGGGCTAATCGACCCGTCACACCGCCTCCAGCACAAAAGATTTTGGCCAAGGGACATTCAACTCCCTCACACAGCCCCCAGTAAGCATTGGCCTTCGATTTTCAGGGACAGTACGCGCCCTCACAAAGCCCCCAGCAAGCATCACGCCCTGATTATGGCTAAGGGCTAGTCAGCGCCCTCCACAGGGGTAGCAGCGCTAATCACGCTCCCCCCAAATCTCGGTATTACACAGAATCAGAGTCAACCCCCCATAAAGGGTTGAGGCATCAGAGTACACTAGTAAAAAAGTCTGAAAAATCAGCGTAGGTACAAAAAGGTTCTCTGAAAAATCAGAGCAAGGTACAAAAAAAAGTCTTTGCAATAAGAGTACACCTCCAAAAAAACTCTGAAAAAACTCTGAATCAGAGTAAAAAGTCTGCAATTTGGGGGCCTGCAAGGGAGGCTTTCGCCGAGGAAGGTGGATATATGGAGCTTAACCCTCCTGATGACATCCCTTCTTGTCCCAGTGGTTAGGACTGGTGACTTTATGACTTAGTATCAGAGCCATCTGGGTTTCAATTCCTGGTGTACACGCTACCCCAGCGGGGGGGTGTGTCGTGGCACTGGGATAACCCTGTTGATCCTATCTCTATCTCTAGATGGATACCAAGGAGGCTTTCCTCGGGGAAGGTGGATATATGGAGCCTAACCCTCCTGATGACATCCCTTCTTGTCCCAGTGGTTAGGACTGGTGACTTTATGACTACAACAGCGAACTCGTTAGGGCGCGTACGATTTTGCTCAAACCCCTACCCAATCGTTTACGCGCTGGATTCGCCCCTAGCATAGGACTGATTGCTAGAAACATCTACAGCAGCATTGTCAAAATATATATTATATTTATATATATATATATATATATATGTTTAGGCTTGGTAGGTGAGCTACATTACTGGATCCTATTGTAGAGGGGACAACCCCCCCTCCCCCCACTCTTGTATCTCTCTCTCTTTCCTAGTGTCTCTCTTTTCTCTCGCTAACTTCTCTCCTATCCCGCTACCTAGCTAAACCTTACAACATTTCTCATGCTTGTCCTTGTCATCATGCTTCCACAGCGTACTCTTTCTCTTCCCGTCACATTCGCGCCGTTGTAGCGGCCTCGCAGTGCTGCCATGACGACCTCGTCAAGCAACCATGGCAGCCTCGCCGTGCTGCTGCGGCGACCTTGTCGATATTGCGCCACCGTGGCTGCCATGTCCTGCTGCCATGGCGGCCCCGTTGCGCTGCCGTGGCGGCCTCTACGCACTACCGTGGCGTCGATGCTACGCCGTTGCGACAATGAAGTGGTGGAAATTGGTTAAAGTACCAACCAATTGACTTTGGGGGTCGAAATTTCAATCCAACCCCCTGAATCCCTTCAACCGCACACCACCACATCCCATCCAGAAAACCCACTCGCCCACCGCTCACCGCCCATGTCAGATTTGAACCTCTAACAAATTCCCTCCCTCAACCGCATTGCACTCCTTCCCATCTAGAATTTCCAACCCTTCCTTTAATGTGCTCCAAACTCCTCACACAAACACCTCCCCATCTATATCGCCAACTCCAAACTGCCGCGCGCCATTTCAGCAACCTAAACCTAGACTTCAGCTTACCGCCTCTAATTTCGCTAAGTTCAGAGCCCGCGCACATGTTCCTTCCTCCTGAAGGAACTAGCTTCGAGGAGAATAGAATGATTGAGTAAGGAGCCAGGAGTCTCTATTCTACAAACAAGGAGCAAGGAAGAGGTGAAGGGGAAGCTCTCCTATTGGCCATTATGTGGACCAATGGGAGAGGTTGCTTGGAGGGCAAGAAACCAAAAAGTGTGGTGCTCTCCTATTGGCTACAATGTGAACCAATGGGAAAGGTTGCTTGGAAGGCAAGCAACCACAAAGTGTGGTGCTTGGGGATTGGTTGGTTCTTAGGACCATTTGGTTGGAAAAGTGCCAACCAAATGTCTAGGACCAAATCCAATCTTGACCAACCCAAATGTGGGGTTGGTCAACCCAACCAACAACTCCCCAATAAATATAAAGACTACACCTCTTAATCAAGGCATGCATGTTGCAGAGAGAGAGAGAGAGAGAGAGAGAGAGAGAGAGAGAGAGAGAGAGAGAGAGAGAGAGAGAGAGAGAGAGAGAGAGATATATATATATATATATAAAAATTATATATATACAACACCTCCAAACCCCCTTGTTGGCGAAATTCTGCGACCCTATCGTGTGCGATATTTTTATATCGCATGAAAAACTCTGCGATAAAGATGCGATACAATTATATCGGGCGATATGCGTCGCATCGCATCGCGCGATATAAATTCTAGAAAATGACATATCACTATCGCATTTTTTCGATATGTGCGATATTATATCTTGCGATGCGATGCGATATAACCATGTCTACCTGACGCTCCAGCTTTTTTCATCTGCCAACCAGCCCGATGCAGCATTGCCATCCCCATGCCTGATGGAGCTCGTGTGAAACTCCAGCTGCCGCACCTTACTGTCATGTTGCCTTGCGTTGCTTCGTGGCCATTGCATGGTAGGCAAGCGACCAACAACCGGCTCACATGCGTCCTCCCTGCGCTCGGCCACATTCCGGGACTCAGCGTGCTGTGAGTTGTGGGCTGCACCTGCGGGTCGCCAACAGCCCTGTGACTGACAAGCTTGACCACGTGTTCCCTCCATGCACTGCACTGCACTACCTTCTTTCACCAACTGCATTCGGTGAGCCCCCCTCAAGGATTACTCTGATGGGCGTTCACATTGCTTGTGTTCTTGCCGATCTAGATGTAACAATATGTATGACTATCAAGTAAAATGGCGCAATCTCCATACCCTATGTACCTTCTAGTATACCCCTGTCTCAACCATCTGCATGGCTCGTTGAGACTTTTAAATGAACTCCTCTCATTCTAGTCTACTTTTGGCTGTCCCTGATTCCTCTTTTGCCTGTGTGGCCAAGGTCTCACATTGCCATGCACCGCCACTCCTGTCCTTCCCTTGCACCCCCTCCCTTTCCTTCTCCCTGCCTTGCCCATGCATGTCTGCTTCACCGCATACCTGCAGGCGTGTAGACAGCACACTCACCTACCCTCCAAACGGCACTCTTTGCCCCATGCTGGTTACTCCTCCCAATGCTGTCTGCAACTCGCTCTGCCCTGAATTCTGCAACTCCTGCGTGCAATATGACACACGAGATGACATGGCACAGGTGGGGCATGGCACAGGTGGGGCATGGCACAGGTGGGGCATGGCACAGGTGGGGCATGGCGCAGGTGGAATATGGTACTAGGGAAATCTGGATGGATACCCTTGGTTATGCCCCCGCGAATGTTGGTGCAGTTCTGGTCCATTGTCCAACGGGCTCCTGCACTGCAGTCCGGCACTTGTGCGCGTGCCTCATTCCGCCCACCGTGGCCAAGTCAGCCCTCTGTCCCTTGCATGCATGCCATGCCCTGTTCACCTTGCATGCCCCAAAACCACACACTGTCAGTTATTTCCCCCTCCCTCCCTTCCCCCCCCCAACCCCACCTGTTTTGCCCCCTGCCTATCTCCTCTCTCCCCCCTTTTGGCCTGGCCCCATCACAAGCACCAGCATACCCATGCCTCCTTCCCAGTCCACGTGGCAGACCCCTCCTCCAGGTCAGCTGAGGACAGCACCGTACCTGCTGCATGCCGTTTCATACGTCCACTGTCCACTCAACACCATTCGAAGCCCCAGCCCGGATGCCAACTCGCGCTTCACTTTCGCCCTCATTCCATGCCACACCATGGCTCTTTTCCCATCCGCTCTACTCCAAGTCCCTTCACTCGGGCTGCCCCGGCCATACCGTCCTTCCTCCCTGTCTTGGCTGTTCCGCTGCCTCCCCATTCTCCGTTTCCCCCTGGTCCTCCACCCTCCACATCTCTTCCTCTCCCCTTTTTCCCCCAGCGCCAGCAGCGGACCCCTTTGGCTATGCCCCCGGCCGCTCAGCCCCCGTGTTGCCGTGGCTGGGCCTGGCGTTCCACCCGCTCTCCCTTGCATGGAGTGCGGAGGAGCAGGGGGGGAGGAGGGGACAGTGGGGTGTGCAGGAAGGGGTGGACTTGCGCAGTGCAGCGGCAGAGGGGGGAGGGACAGTCAGTATAGCACAGCAGCAGACACAGTCACAGGGCGAATGCGGTATGTGTCAGTCACACGGCGATTGCGCTTTCCCTCTTCCATCTTATTTGTCCTTTCTCTACCTTTTCTCTTCTCATGTGCTGACCCCTCTTTCCCCTCCGCCCGGCCCCGTTTTCTCCCCCCTCCGCCACCTGCAGGCATATCGTGGGCATATGCGGCAGTGGCAGCAGCGGAGAGCGCAGTGGCTCTAGCATCCATGCCATACCTGCCGGGCACCAGCTAGTGCCTGCCGCTCGCCCTGCAGCCGGCCTTCCTGTGGCCCAACCAGAGCGAGCGCCACGTGGCAGTGTGCCGGGCTGCCCTACCCTGCATGCACTTGCAGCCGAACGCGGCCTTTGCCTTCATGGCCGCTGCGGTCGCCACCGGCAAGGCCGTGCTCGCCAGGGGCGCCTTTTCTCCCGTTTTTCTGTTCTCTCGTTCCTTCGTTATTGCATCTTAATCCCCTCTTCTCATCCCTCTCTTCTCCCACTATCTGCTCCCCATGTTGTGTCTCCTGTGTACTCTGCCCTCTTAGTGGTGTTTCTTGGACCATGCGTCCCTCGTGCATTAGGTTTCTCTTCCCCATCATTCAACCACTCCCGCTTTTGTGTCACCTACAAGCAGAAAGGCGCCAACGCGTCCCTGCCGCAGCCATTCATCCGAGGCATGGGGTTTGAGCGCACACCTGAGGGTCTGCCGCGGTGGCTCTCTCTGTTGCTCGTTTTGCACCAGGAGCCCGCCGTGGTCAACCTCAGGGCCAACCACCCCTCCTTCCGAGACTACACCACTGTAAGCCGCAATCACTAATGGTCATCGTATGGTGCAGGAAATGGTGCGATGAAGCACATGATGGGGCAAAGACACGCATGGCCTGTCAGATGGTCATCGATTACAGGTGAGTCGTGTAGTGAATGACAGTTAGCATTTGGCACTAAGCATGAACAAAATACCCGTTCGGGTCAGGTATACCGGACTCGACCCGACTTTTACCCCAGGTCGGGTAGTCGTTAGGGGAAGCACTACCCGACCGGGTCGGGCTGGGTATTACCATTGGGTAGTGTTGACCAGCTACTAGACATGGTTATAACGCGTTGCGATATAACATCGCATCGCACTTAGCTTGAGCATGAAGCCGACCCGACCCGACCCGACTCGACTTTGCCCTACCTGATGTCAGGTTTGGGTCGGTTTGGGTCGGGTCAAGTCGGGTCGGAGTTCAGGAAATGTCAACCCGACCCGGGTTTGATAGGTCGGGTACTACCTGACCCGATTTCGGGTCGGGTTGGCATAGGGGCAGGGGCGGGTAATAAGATTTGACGACGCTATGGCGGTTTGACTGGCAGGAGGTACAGCAGCCACAATAGTCTTCGGAGTACAAAAAACTTAGGAAGAAGAATTCGAGAGGGAGATGGTTCCCAGCCTCTACATACCCCAAGAGCCGAGGTCCAGGTTGGTGGTACACCACCACAGAGTCCCCAACCACGAAGAGTCTCGAAACCAACCCTCCAAGGGGCTACACCAAGTGAAATATAACACTACACGAAGTAGCGTTACTATTTTCACTATTTAATATTTATCCGCGTCCCTTGGGCTTGAAATCTTGAGCTCTTGGTCTTGGATCTGCAAGATAAATTCTTCTTGAGTTGATGGGGGCTTGCTGCATACACCTGCGACGCGATGGACACTTCACACTCGACAAAATAGAAAAAAACACATGCGACACACAAACGACGACTTGACATGCGAGTTGTAAAAACTCGCTAATGTCTTGACCGACACAAACCACATTGTGATACACCATTCAAACACACACACAAGCACTGGATAGCAATGACATAGACTCACAATTCATTCCATGCCATGCATGCACACACACAAACAAGGACGACAAGCCGAGTGCAAGCCATAGGGTTGCACCAACAGAAATACCCCTGACTGTCGGTTCCGCGGTGTGTCACGTACAATCACATTCCGCTTGTTAGGCTAAGAAAAAGCCTTTGGATCTTTTCAAAGACTAAGTCCGACTTGTACAAAACGCTTGAGTAGTGCAGCGGAAGTGTTGAGTAGTTGAACCCTTGCACTAGTATGTGAGAGCAAGTGATTGATTAAAAGAAACAAGCATACAGCAATATATAGAAAGTAAGAAATTAAGCAATTGTAGAATACAGTTGAAGGAACAGTTATCGAGTCGCACAGCGACTCAATTGTTGGTTCGGTTACCATCCTTGCAGTCGCAACGGTCAATCGCAACCTCCGGTTGCGACCCTTTGAGTCCCTTCGCCCTTTCGTGTTCTTTCCTCCAACCTCCTCGTGTAACCTCCGTTGACTCGCGTACCCGATATGACTTTCCTCGGGTGTAGTGTTACACTTCAGAAACGCTTAAGTCTTCAAGGTATTTCCAATAATCCCCTTCATTTTTGGAGTGCTGACGTGTCCGGATTCGGTGACGTTTATCTGCCCGGTCAGCAGCATGCAGTAATCGAACTTTGCGTTTGCCAGTTTCTTCGTCAGATAATCTGCAGCCATTTCTGTCGTGGGGCAGTAAGTGAGTTGAAGTCTCCCCTTCGTGATCTCATCCTTGACGAAGACATATTGAAGGGCGATGTGCTTGGTTCGATTGGCGAACCCGTTTTTGTTCGCGATTTTGATCGCGGATTGGTTGTCGCAGAATAACGAGAAGGCGTGCATGGTCGCAATTTTCGCTTCCTCAAGCAGCTCCCGCAGGTAAATTCTTTCTTTGGTTGCAGTGCAGAGAGCTATGTATTCCGCTTCAGCTGAAGATAGCGCGATAAATTCCTGCTTGCTTTATTGCCAGGAAATAGTCCCGATAGGCTCTAGTCGGTAAATGTAGCCCGTTCTGGAACGCCGATTCTCCTTGTCTCCTGCGTGGTCGGCGTCGACATAGCCGAGTAGTTGTACGGACAGTGGTGTCACTTTGCTGTAGGTGAGTCCGACTGTCGGCGTAGAGACGAAGTAGAGCAGTGCCCGATTCAGCTCCTCGAGATGCTCTTGCTCCGGCTGCTTCAAGTGTGTCGCTAGTTGGCTAGCGCTGTAGGACAGATCCGGTCGGCAGGTTATTGCTGCGAACAGGAGGCAGCCGAGCTTCTGTTGGTATTCCTGGATTTGCTTAGTGGGGAGCTTCGCGGAGGTGTCGCTATTGTCGTTCCCGTAGCGATAGGGAGTTGCGGCTGCGATCGGCGTTTGTCCGAATTTCTTCGCAACTATGCCTGCGTACTTTCCGGCGTGTAGGTAGAACGCCGAGTCATCTTCGACGACGTTCAGCCCTAGATACTGGGTGACGGTGTCTGACACCGTGAGTGTTAAGTCACTCTTCAGCTCCCCTTCAAACCAGGTGACGATGTTGGTAGTGGAGCCGACGTAGAGCAGGTCATCGACGTAGATGATGAGTAGGACGAAATCGCTTCCCTTCTGCAGTCGGTACATCCCTTGGTCGTGCGGCAGCTGCAGGAAGCCGATCCCGACGAGGCAGCCGTGAAGGTGCTGCTGCCAGAGCCGCGGGGCTTGTTTGATTCCGCAGAGGGATTTTATCAGCTGGCACACTTTTGTGGGATCGTCGATGAAACCGTGGGGCTGCTCAACGAAGATCTCAGCGTCCACAGGTGCATACAAGAAGGCGTTGGCGACATCGATCTGCTGCGGTGGTAACTTTTTCGTGGCCGCGACGGCGAGTAGAATGCGCAGGGAGGTATGTCAGGAGACTTGGGCAAATGTCTCCGTATAGTCGGTTCCGTATCGCTGATCGAATCCACGTACGACCCGGCGAGCTTTGAAGCGGTCGATGGAGCCATCCGTGTTAGTCTTGATTCGGTACACCCACTTCCCTGAGAGCACATTCCGCCCATTGGTCTTTGTTGCAGAGAATAGTTTCCATGTGTTTCGGTCTTACAGGGCCTTGAGTTCCTTTTCCATTGCTTGCTTCCATTTCGCCTTGTGTTCCCCCCCAAGAGCTTGCGACAGAGTCGTTGGCTCGTACGGAGACGGCGGCGGCGGGCTCTGGACGGCGACCAATAACCCAAGTATCTGCAGGCCCGTGGGTGTGTGTCGAGGGGAATTTTCATCCCCGGGATAAGCTGCTTTGTCGCCATCTTCGGAGTCAGGTAAGAAATTCTGTCCGATGCGTTCAGAGACATTTGTGTCGACCGATTGAGGTGTAGTGTAGCCCTGGTCAGCGAAGTGGTAGTAGGTGTCGAGGTTGTTACTATCGAGAGGGTTGTCGTCGTCGAGTGGAACGGGCACGGAGCAGTAAGGGAATGGTCCGGCAGCTTCTAAGGCTTCAGGTACGTCTTCTTCTGCTGCGTCAGCTTCAGCAGCACGGTCGGAGAAGGACCGATGGCCTTCGAAGCCGTCGGTGGGGTCTGCGGTGTTGACGACGTTGTCCGGGTAATGCTGCAGCTTCAATCTCTTGTAGAAAATCACATCACGTGAGGCCACGGTGTTTTTGTCCTGGATGTCGAGAAGTTTCCATGCGTGAAAATGTTTTGCGATGCCGAGGTGTAGTCCCCACCGTGCTCGTTGAGAAAATCGTCCTGCTCGGGCTGTGTGGGGTCGGTACTGTACCATGCAGCCGAAAACTCGAAGTAATTTTGTGCTGCCCAGTTTTCCAGTCCACAGCAGGTGCGGTGATGCACTGTTGGGAAGTGATGACGAGGACAGCAAGTTGTGGAGGTGGACTGCATGCGTCATCGCGTCAGGCCAAAGAGTGTTGGGCAGTCCCATCCCTAGGAGCAGCTTCCGCATCGTCGTCTGCAAGGTGCGGTTCATTCTCTCTGCGACCCCCTGCTGCCAGTGAGCGTAGGGCAGGGACACCAGGTGTTTGATGCCTCTTTCCGCCAAGTAGCTCCTGAACATTTGTGCCTGATAATCCAGTGCCCCGTCTAACTGGAAACTCATCAGTTGGGAGCCCGATTCTCGTTCAGCGATGGGGAGTCACGTCGCGAAGGCTTCGAACGCTTGGTCACGAGTCTTGAGGTTGAAGTGCGAGACGTATCGTGTTGCTGCGTCGATGAACGTTATTACGTAGTTGAACTCTGCTTCACTGTCGTCTCGAGGCATATTCAAAATATCGCTGTAAACCTTTTCCATCGGTGTGTATGCAGGTGCGCTTGGATTGTGGTGCGACGGGAAGGGTTGATGGGGAAGATCAGCTTCGGGGCACGTGAAGCATTGTGCGCGGGGTCGTCGAGGCTCCTGGCTGCTCGTTGTGAGGAGAGCATCTTTTTCTAATACTCCGGCTTGTATGGTTTGAAGGATTGTGCTGTTTGCAGGGTGTCCGAGGCGTTGATGCCAGATGTCGTCGGGAGCGCGTTGGCCAGGTGAGCGCTGGTACAGGTTGGCGTTGGAGAAGAACGCGATGACCGTAGCGGGACTGCGGCAGACTCCTCGGGTGATGGGCATGAGCTGATCTGCTTCGGTTGGCGGTCCTCGGATTGCTGGTGATGGCGCACGACTGGGTTCTGCTGCTGCTACTGCAGGTGATGTCGGGGAAGGAATACTTGCAGGTACTTGTCGTTCTCATCGAATGACTGCTAATGCTCGTGTTCTCTCTGCTGCAAGGATGGTGTTGGAGTACCAGAACCCGCCTGGACTAAAGTCGGGGTCAAGATCAGGCGGGTGCGTCCAGGCGGGGAACGACACGATGCCGTCGCTGTCGGCAGTACCGCGGTCGGGGACGAAGTATAGCACGAAGACGCCCGATTTCAGGAGAGCACGACCGATGAAGAGGCCGCCCTTCTTGTGATAAAGACGAAACTCGTTGGCGTCCGAGTCGCACTCCAGGTGAATTCCTTTCGCCATTAACTGGTTGACGCTTAGTAAATTGTATCCCAGATTGTCGACGATGAGAACTTTGTTGAGTTGCTGAATGACGTTTGTCTCCATTGACTGAAGCTGAACGACTCCTTATCTGTTTGTCTTCAGGTTTTCATTATTGGCGACGGTGATGATGACGTCGCGGTTGAGGCGTCGTTCTTGTTGCACGAAGCGCCCCGAGGAACACATGTGTTGACCGCAGCAACTGTCCAGATGGGTGCGGTGGGTGCGGCGTTGGCGATTGCAGCATACGTGGGGTTGACCTGAAGACCTTGTGAGCGCGGTGGTGGCAGTTCTTCGTCTGGAGCATAAGTGGGTGGTGACCCGAGTGTGTAGTTGTCGATGCGTACCATGCAATTAATGATATTTGGTGTGCCTTGTGCAGGTGTAGAGGAACGGCTTGGCGGATTCTCTTGAGTGGAGACGACTTGCGGATCTGCTGGACGATAAACTTGACGGCGTGTGCAGTTGACCTTGGAGTGCCCGGATGTCTGACAGTTGTGGCAGAACGGCGGCATGATGGTGAGACCTCTGGTGTCATGTCGGTTCTGCTTGTCACGTCGATTGTGATTGTTGTCGTTTCTTCTTTGAGTGTAGAAGACTAATGGTTGTTACTTGCTTCGTGGTTGTCTTTCTTCAAACAGGTCCATCTCCTGTTGTTCAGCATGAAGCTCGGCGCAAAGATGCATCTCGGAAATTCGTCCGTGGGCGCGAAGAAGCGAGCGGGTGATTCTCCATTCTGGTCCGAGCCCGGCGAGAACAAGTGTCACGAAGCTTTCTTAAGTGATTGTGCCTCCGCACCGAAGCAGGCGGTCGCGAAGTGTCTGGCAACGGCTCATATACTGCATCGCCTTTTCCCCAGTCTTCATTTGTATTGTTGTCAACTGCTGCATGAGTCTGCTTTGTGTCACACTGTCGTTTGCTTGATAGAGACATTTCAGATGATGCCCGGCGAGCTCCGCGGAGTTTCCGTAGCTCCGATACGTTCTGATGCTCTGTTGCTCTTGTGGTGACAGATTTTGCAGGAGGACTGTGTATGCCAGTAGCGACTAATACATGAAGATTTCCTGCTCCTTCGCAGTTCCATTGCTTGGAAATGGCAGGGACCCGTTGAAGTATCCCAAGAGGTGCGCGGCCTCCATCAGCAGCTCGAACTCAAAGCTCCAGGTAAAGAAGTCGTGCCCGTTGAACGGTGTCTGTAGTTTGATCACATGTGAAAACTGCGCCTGTAGACTTAATATCTCGTTTGGTGTTTGTTGTGATGCAGCTGCTGTGGGTTGAGCGCGGGGCGGCATGAACTCGAACGTTCCTGGTGAAGAGTGATAAGGCGTAAAGGATGGCGCCTGGATGTGCCGCCCGAATGATGAGTTGTCGAGGCTCATCGGTGCTAACCCCGTATTTCCTCTGTTACTCTGTGTTGAATGCGCAGGTGTCCCTGTCTGCTGATGCTGCTTGAAGTGCGACATGAAGCTGAAGAACCTTTCCATAAGGTTCGGGTCCACGCTTGAAGAGGGTGAAGGGGTCACCATTCCTGGTACTCTTCCTGTTGTTTCTTGAGCAGCGCCGGTCTCGGTTTGTAGTCCTAAGGTGTGGGGTTGAGTAGCTTAGGCGCTTGGTGAGCCCGTAGAAAACTTTTTGCCCTTGTTGTCCATGTCTTGTAGTTGATGAAGCTTTTGATATGCTGACTGTAGATAGGATGTTGTTGACGGGAGTTTGGTCTCTGACCAGCTCTCAAACCATGTTGGGCTGAGAAAAAAGCCTTAGGATCTTTTCAGAGACTAAGTCCCACTTGTACAAAACGCTTGAGTAGTGCAGCGGAAGTGTTGAGTAGTTGAACCCTTGCACTAGTATGTGAGAGAAAGTGATTGATTAAAAGAAACAAGCATACAGCAATATATAGAAAGTAAGAAATGAAGCAGTTGTAGAATACAGTTGAAGGAACAGTTATCGAGTCGCACAGCGACTCGATTGTTGGTTCGATTACCACCCTTGCAGTCGCAATGGTCAATCGCAACCTCCGGTTGCGACCCTTTGAGTCCCTTCGCCCTTTCGTATTCTTTCGTCCAACCTCCTCGTGTAACCTCCGTTGATTCGCGTACCCGATACGACTCTCCTCGAGTGTAGTGTTACACTTCAGAAACGCTTAAGTCTTCGAGGTATTTCCAACACCGCTAAAAACAAACGCAGCCGTCCTGACATACACGCTTGGTTTTAACGAGATTAGGGTGTACCCGACACGACCCCTGTCGCGCTGACCGTGAAATTTCAACCATTTGGTCCAAAATTCCAACTAATCTCAAAATTGCGAGCTGCGTTCTCTACTAACCCACCCATCTAATCGCCTAACAGTCTAGGACGCCACCAGCACACCACCCATGCAGTCTTGGCGTGAGGTAAGGTCTAGGAGGCGTTTTGGTGTTGGGCTTTCTAGAATCTAGATACAATGGGTGTTAGTGTAGTGAGGGGGGGGGGGGGGGGGGCGTGGTCTGGTTAGAAGTTGGTATTGGGGGAAAAAAGTTGGGAGTCACGATTTGGCGACATAATGGTTGGCTTCACCGATTTTTCGGCAGGCTGCCCCAAAATGTTCCGCCAAGCGTATAGCGTATATTGGACGTGGGCAGAAGCCGAGCCACACCCGGCTCGGCTCGGCTCGGCTCGTCACCATTCTTGACAGCGATCCGGGGCGAGCCCGCTCGCCCCTGGTTCAATTTCGAGCCAATGGATCGCGCCTCGGGATTTGGGGGGGTTCGCGTGGCTACAGTTTGTAGATCGACGAAACACTCTCCTCACAGACTAGTACCACGCCCTCCCCAATTCCACTAACCCTAGCCAGCAACTCCATCGTTCGTACGTTGCGCACGCCTTAGCTAGTTTTAACGCACCATTTAGACCAGATTAGGAGTTTATGAAGGGCTTGACAAACTCAATCCCCCCAGCGGACCTAGTCAAAGCTGGCAAACACGGCGAGCCGGCTTGACTCGACCCAAAACGAGCCGAGCCGAGCCAGGCTCTGCTCATGCCCACGTCCAGCGTATATACGCATCGTATATACACTACATGCTCGGCGAAAATTGCGTATCGTGCAACCTAGTTTACGGTCCTCGCAGTTGCGACGCGCGGTGTGCATAAAAACTTATACACACAGCTGGTCTTGAGCGATGAAGCAGAGACACAGTGCTTAAGGATTTTCCATGAGTTAGGTGGGGCAACTGCACAGCGTTGTTGAGCGTTCTGGTTGACAAAGCTATTCCAGCTAAAAACCCTCCCTTGACGTTCACCACTCACCCCCCTCCTCACCTATCCCCATCTTCACCCGCTCGAGACCAACACATGTGGTGGGCATGCTGAGTCTCACAACGAGTTACCTGCGCTTACCTATCCTCCCCCCCTTCCCCCAGGGAGTGCATTCGGACCCGGGGTGTGCGCTGAGCGGGCTGCCGGACCACTCGGTGGTGGTGGTGGGGTACATCCTGGGGAGTGAGAGCGTGGCAGGGGACACGCCGCACTGGATCGTGCGCAACTCATGGGGGGACGCATGGGGCGAGCACGGCCACATGCGCATCGCCATGACTGGGGGGGATGGCGTCTGCAACATGCATGCCACGCCCGCCTCCTACCCCACCATCGCCAGTGAGTTGCTGCTGCCTGACTGTTAGATGCACCGTGCCATGCCAACGCTATGAGGCAAACTCCCACTACGGTGCTCTCTTTCCCCATGATCACAACCCCCTTACCCCCGCCCCCCCCTAGCCTTGAGTCCTTGTGTGAACACTATCAACCCGTGTGGGGGCGGGCAGTGTGTGGCGGGTCGCAGAGCAGGCTCTGCCACGTGCGTCTGCCCGCCAGGCTTCACAGCAGTCAGCAACGGCGACGGCACGCAGACATGCGCCCCAGGTCATTCCCATTCCTTCTGTGCGCATGCATGCATTGCTCCATGCATTGTCTCTTGTTTTCGCTCATCGCTCTTTCTCCTCCATTGCACCTCATCCTGCAAACCGCATGAGCGCAAAGTAAAAAACACTGGAAGGCCCCCTAGCAGCGTCAGCAGCCAGCCATCCCTTCCATGCCATCCCTTTCCTCACCCCTAGAGTGTCCCCCCTTCTCCCCCCCACAATCTCCACCAGCCAACCCCTGCAGCTTCTACCTGTTCAACCCGTGTGGGTTTGGGTCGTGTGTGAGTGGCGGCAGTGGCGGGTACACGTGTGTGTGCTTCAGAGGCTTCCAGCCAGGCAGGCGAGCTGCTGATGGCTCCACCATCTGCGTGCCGGGTGAGGCATCCCATGTTATGGCATGCCATCCATGCTGTGTTATGCCGTGTCATGCCATGCCATGCCAGGAGGACACGACATTTAGCGTTTGGCGTGTAGGAGGTCGTGCCATTCTAAGAAAGTCAAGGCATGCGGCGTGTAGGAGGGCAGGGCATGGCATGTTCTTGTAGCTTTCCTGATACAGTGTAGCAGCATTCCACGCTCTTTCAGTATGAGTTGTGCTCTTCCCATAGCTTGCACCTTGCATGTGATTCACCTTCCCACATCCTGCCCATGCTGCTTGGCAACCACGGTCACCACTACATGCTCACAAAAGAGAACCCAACTGGTCGCATGCCACCCACCACCCTCTTCCGCCTTCCCACCTCCGCTCGCCCTCGCCAGGCCGCCCTTCCCCAGACAGCCCTGTTCATGTGGTGGCAGCGGACACCACGTGTGCCGCCATTCAAACTGCCTTCAGCATTCCACGGCCTGCTCTGCTGCTCCAAAACCCAAAGCTTGTGCGTGCTGTGCGCGCTGGCCCATCTCCGTTGCATGCATTGCTGTGCTTGTCCATATTTCCTGTCCTTGGGCCATTTGGCATGCCTGCCCATTTGTCTTATTGCATGTGCCTTCTCTTCTGAGTGTTCTCTGTATCTCCTGCTCCATGCCATGCCATACCATGCCATGCAGGTCTGCAGCAGGGTGGTAAAGAAGGGCACTCAGGTTAATGTCAGTCAGCCTGCCAGCAGTGGGGAGTGCTCGTCCTGGTACTGCACTGCTCAGGTCAGTGGGAGAGGGGTTCAGGCACGTGTACCAGCATGTATGTATGTCTGCATCTATCAACTCAAGCATACATGTACATATATGCAAGCACATCAACTCGTTGACATGCATTCTCAGATTCACATACATCCATGCGTGCATGCATGCATGTGTAGCCATGTCAGCTGTGCACCTCATCCCCCACCCCCCTCCCCGCCAGGGGGAGAGCTGCTCCTCGCTGCAGGCCACTCTGTCGCTGGACGCCTCCTCCCTGGCTCTCATCAACCCGGCCATTGACTGCTCCTTACCGCCCCCTCATCCCCCCGCCACCATTGTAAGCCAATCCTGCCACCCAGAATGAAATATCCCCCCCCCCACCCGCAATGAAATTTCCCCGACCACCCGCAATGAAATATCCCCCCCCACCCGCAATGAAATAACCCCCCCCACCCGCAATGAAATATCCCCCCCCAACCGCATTGCAATATCCCCCCCACCCGCATTGCAATATCCCCCCCCACCCGCATTGCAATATCCCCCCCCCACCCGCAATGCCACCACACCCCTTCCACCACACGCCTTCCCCATCTCCCTGAAGCACCCTTAATGTCTGATGCATGGAGTGCACTGCAGCCTCTGCCCACTCATACGTGGGCATTCTAGTTCTTGTGCGTCGTTCTCTCGTCCTCTTCCCTTATTCATGTTCTCGTCTACTCCTCACCACCCACTCTCGCCCCCGCCACCACCGTAAGCCAATGCCACCATCCACATTGCAATCTCTCCCTTTCCACCACACCCCCTCCCCCTCGGAAGTGACCAACCGGGTCGGGCGGCGCTTCATCGTCCTCAACCGCCCATCTATGACCCCGACGCCAGGAGGACGTCGAATCTTATCGAGGGGGACAAGCAGCACTTTCAACCGCAAGCAGCAGTTTCAACAGCTCTTCTGACCACCAATCCCTAGACTCTTCGCCATCCACCAACCGAAGAAACCGCCACTACACTGCCAGTTCATTGATATTCCTCTGATGGGCGATGACCTCATACAGCCTGAGCCGACCAACTGCTCAGACCTCCGACACACACTGCAACAAGGGTCCTGATTCATGCGAAGACAAATCGTCATCGAGCCACAGCTTGCCTTCGGATGAATCAGGACCCTTGTTGCAGTGTGCATCGGAGGTCTGAGCAGTTGGTCGGCTCAGGCTGTATGGGGGGAAGTCGGTTCGCCCTCTCTCTCGACCACTCGAAATAGTGTTGTCAAATGCCCCGTATCTATCTGGTCTCGCCAGTCGGACCCTCCTCTGTCTCATGCTGTTGCTGGAAATCCTACACTTATCTTGTCCTCCCCATGGGCTTCGATAGGAATGGGTTTCGTCCCCCGCCAGAAGGATATCAATGAACTGAAAGTGTAGTGACGGTTTCTTCGGTTGGTGGATGGCGAAGAGTCTAGGGATTGGTGGTCGGAAGAGCTGTTGAAACTGCTGCTTGCGGTTGAAACTGCTGCGCCCGACCCGGTTGGTCACTTACTTCCGAGGTTTATATGGAGCCACCTTCTCGTGTGACCAACCACCCTCCTCCTCTCACACGTTGTGCCATTCCAATTTATGGCTCTGCTCTCTCACCTGTGCTTCAATCATGGTCTGCCATTGTGGCGTTTCAGAACCCCTGCATTTCGGTTCTTATGTGCCGTCCTTTCATCCTCGGCTGTCCCATGCTTGCCTGCGCTGTCATTACAGCAGTTCAGGGCTTCCGCCCCTTCTCTCATGCTCAGTACTTCAGACTCCAATGTCATTTCTTACCTTCAGAGCCCACCTCTCCCTCTCCCACTTCCTCTCCCCCTCCCCCTCCCCCTCCCCCTATCCTTCTCTCTCCCCCATGCCTCCCCCCCCCCCCCCCCTCCCCCTTCTTTATCCTGCAGGTGTGCACATCCACGACAGGCAGTGCCCCCACGGTCTACCCTCTCTGCACGCGCTGGGTGCTCTCTGCTCCAGATGACACCTGTGCCTCTCTTGCCACCCGCCTCGCCCTCTCTCTGCCGCTGCTGCTCACCCTCAACCCGGGCCTCCTCTGCTCCAACCTCCCCCGCACACCCGCCACCCTGCCTTCCTTCGGGGAACAGGTCAGTGCGCTGGTGCCTGTAACTTTGTGGTAACCTGTGGCCCACTGGAAGTGAAGGGGGAATCGGGGATGTAAGAACGGTTGGGAGAATGTGTTTTTCCCTGAGTTTGTTTGTTGCTTTCACTGTTGTAGGTCAGCTCTTTCATTCCTGACTATGCCACTGACAGCATGGTGTCTCCTCCCCCTCCATGCAGGTGTGCGTGAGTGCAGCCCCACCAAGCCTCCCCTGTGCCAAGCCCAACTACCGGTTTGAGGTGGCGGCTGGAGACACATTGGTTTGGGTGCGTGGAGGCCCTGCAGAACCTCAACGCGGGGCTCTCCTGCTCTGACCGCCTGCTGCATGTGGGGCTCACCCTCTGCGCCCCGCCACAGCCGACAGAAGCCTGCCTCGCCCTCAAGGCTCGCACCGCCTGACTGACTATCTGACTGGCTGACTGCCCCCCACCTGGCTGACTGACCCCACCTGGCTGACTGCCCCCACCTGGCTGACTGCCCTCACCTAGCTGACTCACCTGGCCTGACCTGCGCCCCTTGGTCGCTTGGGGCGCCCTCAAGGCTGACCATTTGGTCTGACTGACCTGCTCCTTTGGCATGGAAAACGATGGGTCACGTGGTGGTGACGTATCGTTCCCAACGCTGTACATTGTGTAATAATTTGTCAGGTGTTGTCAGGTGTTGCAGTACATTCCAAATATAGAATCTGCAGACACTTGGAAAACCTCAAGTGTTAGCCTAGGATCTTTACTGGAATGGTAGACTAGTAAGACAGTGGAAGTCTTGTAAAAAATATGATAGTCAAGGTTGAGTAACCTGAGTACATGAACTTGTGGGTAACCAAAGTTAATAATGGAGAGGCATAACAAGGATTTATAGTTGTAGGAAAAGTACCTGTTCGCTAATGTACCTGTTCGTCACTATCGCGCTATGCGCCCTAAATGACAATGAAGAGGTGCGACTATTCGCGTGACTGAAACGACTGTCCCCATGACGAGCGCTATTTGCTGACGTCATCCTACGGACTTATCTTCTACAGTAGGATTCGACACTATCTACACATTATCGACTTACAGAAATGCTAAGTATGAATTATATCACAACACTCCCCTTCATTTCTGGAAGTTCGATAGTGTCACTTCTTGAAGATCCCGCAAAGTTTGTTACAGTACTGAAACTTCTGTCATGTAAGCTTCTTCGTGAGGAAGTCGGCAGCCATTTCGTTGGTCGAACAATAGACCAATCGCATTCTCCCCTTCTCGACTTCATAATTGACGAAAAAGTAACGAAGTGAAATATGTTCCGTCCTGTTGAAGAAGCCCGGCTGGTGCGCGATGCGAATTGCACTTTGGTTGTCGCACTTCAGGGTAAACTGGGTACTCGTCGTCAACTTCGCTTCTTCCAATAGTTCCTACAGGTAAAGTCCTTCGCGTGTTGCTGTACAGACAGCGATAAATTCAGCTTCAGCAGAGGAGAGAGCAATCAGCTCATGCTTCGTCGAATTCCAAGAAATAGGCCCGATAGGTTCAAGACGATAGATGAACCCAGTGCGCGAGCGTCGATTAGTGATGTCAGCAGCCAGGTCTACGTCGACGAAACCGTGTAGGAATAGAGTTTTACAGCTGACGACGTTGTAGACTAAACCGACGTCAGGAGTAGAGACGAAATACTGAAGAGCGCGAAGAAGATCGAGTTGGTGTTCTTCTTCAGGATGGCGTAGGAACTGTGCGAGTTGACTAGCCGCGTAGGCCAGATCTGGACGGCAAGTTACAGCGGCGAAGAGTAAACAGCCTAACTGCTGTTGATAGGTCTGTAAACCGGTTGAATTTAACGGTGCAGTATTTGGTTTGTAGACAGTCGGTCGAGAACGGTACGGTGTAGAAACTGCAGTAGGGGTGAGGTTGAAGCGGGCAGCGAGCGTCGCTGCGTACTTCGAAGCGGTGAGGTGAATCGACGTCGGTGAGCAGGTAATGTCTAGACCGAGAAACTGTGAGACTGTCTCGGAGACGGTAAGCTGTAGAGTTTTCTGTAGTTTCAGTATGAAGGTATTGGCGAGTGAATCGGTAGTGCTGACATAGAGAATGCCGTCGACATAGGCGACAAGTAAAATATAGTTGCTTCCGTCGGTTAGAAGATACATTCCCTGGTCATGCGGTAGCTGATGGATTCCAACGGTAAGTAACTGTGAAAATAGGTACTGTTGCCATAGCCAGGGTGCCTGTTTAATGCCGTATAGAAATTTTCGGAAACGGCATATGCTCGGTGGGTTAGTAGAATAGGAATGCGGGTATTCTACTAGTATGAGTGCGTCGACGGGTGCGTAGAGAAGCGCGTTTGCCACGTCGATTTGTCGAAGTCGTAGATTACGGTAGGCGGCGACACAGAGTAAAATCCGAACGCTTGTATGTTGACCGGCGGGAGCAAAAGTCATCTCGTAGTCGATGTTGTAAGTCTGCTCGAATCCGCGGACGACCGATCGCGCCTTGAAATTTTCAAACGACCCATCTGCATTAGTCTTGACACGGAAGACCCATTTTCCGGTAAGTACCTTCCTCCCTTTTACTTCTGATGTCGGTATTAACTCCCATGTGCCACGACTCTTGAGAGCTGCTAGCTCTCTGTCCATGGCTTCGCGCCATTTTTGTGGTGAGGACTCGTAAGAGCTTGTCGAACGGTTTTCGGTTCAGGTATCTTACTGTCGTTGTACTGTACTGCGACTGCAAATCCAAGTATCTGTAATCCTGTTTCAGTAAAACGCGGACGTTCTTCGTTTGCACCTGCGAAATTTTCTTCTGGTCCTTCTTCCCCCCCAATTTCGTCAGGTGTAACACGAACTGTTTCGTCGGAGACGGCTGGCATCGGCTGCTGTTGGTGATCGCGTTCGTAACTGTGGTGGACTTTGCGAACGTCATCCGGGTCAGCATCTGCAAGAGGAATAAATTCCGGGATGCCAGTCAATGTTACAGGTTCGGGAATGTCTGTTGCGGCAGCTTCAAAGGCTTTAGAAACTGCCTCGTCTTGTACATCAGCTTCGGCTTCGTCACTTGCAAATGTACGCGAGCCTTCGAACAGCCTGGCGGGGTTGGCAGCTACTGCTTGGTGGGCACGAATAACGGGCAAGGTGAGTCTTTCATAGAACAGACAATCACGTGAAGGGACGATTTGGTTGGAACGGAGATCCAAAATCTTCCAAGCGTGATACTGTTTTTCGATGCCGAGGTGTACCCCCCCCATTTTGCTCGTTCCGAAAATTTGCCGAGTGCTGCAGTTGGAGGACGAAACTGCACGACACACCCAAAAACTCATAAAAGTTTGGTACTTCCCATTGTTCTTGTCCACTGCAGGTGCGGAGAAGAAAATTCGTGCAATGACGTGGAAGAGAGCAGGTTGTGTAACAGCACGACGTGGTCCATCGCATACGGCCAAAAACGTGGCGGAAGGGCTGCCTGCGTCAGCAGAGCACGCACCTTCTCCTGTAGAGTTCGGTTCATCCCTTCCGCTACCCCCATATGTTGGTGTGCATGCGGCAGTGACTGCTTCCGTTTGATGCCGAGTGTCTGGAGGTAGTCTGTGAAGGTGTTGCTCGTGTACTCCCTGCGCCATCACTTTGGAATTCTTGCAGTTTTACGCCAGACTCTCTTTCAGCGACGGCGAGCCATGCGACGAAGGCCGGATGGGCCAGATATCGAGCAGGAAGATTGGCCGTCCAAACATAGCGAATAGATGCCTCGATGAAGGTTATTACGTACTGCTCTACTTTAGGGTCTGCTTCAGGTAAGTGAAGAATATCGTTGTAGACTTTCTGCATCAGTTTGTAACGTGTGGAACCAGGAAAATGACTTGGAAATGGATCGTGGGTAAGATTGGCGACCGGACACATGGTGCAAACTATCGGGCGGGACTGCGGCTTCATCTCCGTGCCGTCAGGTAACAGAAGACTATTTTTATCAAGAACTGCTGCTCGTATTGAATGATTTAGAATCCCTTGTGAAGAATGTCCTAACCGCTGATGCCAGATGTCCTTGGTGGCTTTGTGTCCTGATGATCGAAGGTAGAAATCGGCGTTAGTATAAAACGAAGAAATTATAAAGGGAGAAAGCGGGGGAGACATATCAAGCTCCCCTTCAACGAAACGTGTAAGTGGTAACTTGATTATTGATGGTTCTGCTATGGTTGCGATTGCAACATCTGATACGGCCTCTGTCGATGTGGTGGCAGGTGGTCCTACGACAGCTACTATGGGACGCGGCTACTCGGCGACTTCTTCCTTTTCGGCTTCTTCAACGACGTCAGGTTCATCAGCTGCAAGTCCACTAATTTCTCCCCAAAGTAGAGCTGGAGTTCCTTTGAAGGCCGCGCGGGTGTTATAAAACGTTCGCCAAGCATTGGCGCCTTCATCGGCGGTATTGAATTCCCAAGTATCTAGTGCGGTAAGTAGAGGAGCTGCTGTTCGAGAAGCCGTTGGTATGGTAGTTGCTCGAAAATCAATATCCGCGTGCTGGTAATCTGTTTCTTCTGGGTGATCCTAGGGACCAAGTGCAAGGACGCGTTCAGAATCACCAGAAGTTCCTTGTGCCGTGAACTGAAGAACTGACACGCCATGTTGAGTAGCGGCACGACCAAGGTAAGTATTCGTTAAACTGTGCCATAATTCGTGATCCATCGTTTCACAATTGCCCTGTGTGCGGATCTTGTGTGCAAGGAGCTGAGCCGTGGAGAGAAGATTGAAGCCAAGACCAGCGACGATAAGAACGTTGGTAACGTGTAAAGAATATCCCGTGTCGACTGATTCGAGCATTATACTCCCAATAGAACGTACCATAATGGTTTGTCCGTTTGCGACTATGACAGGTATCGGACGTCGAAGTGGACGCTGGTTGGTGATGAAGCTTGTTTCAGCGGAGCACATGTGCCAACCGCAACAGCTTTCGAGATACCAAGTATTTGGACTTGAAATGACTCGAGCAAGGTTAGCGTAAACTTGCGGTAAGGGAATGCCTTCAGCACTTGTAGTTTCTTCAAGTCGTGTCTCGAAATCTGTTTCTGAAACATCAACTGTTGTACCACATCCAAAGACCCCTTTTCCTGATGTTGCAGATGCAAAGATCGGAGTGCGATGTTGTGACGGTGGTGGATTCTGCGGCGGTTTTGGCATCTGCTGCGTCTGGGACGTCGACTGCTGCGTTGGCTGATGTGTCTTCGGTAACTGCTGCGAACGGTGATACGACTGTGAAGTGCTGCGACGATTTTGATGTCGGCTGCGACAAGTCTGGTAAGTGTGTCCTGGTTTCTTGCAAAAACGACAGAAAGGATATTTCGGGGGAAGTCGTTGCTGCGGTTCCGGATTTGAGTAAAAACTTAAATGTATCCCTTTCTTCTGATTGCATTGTGGCTGCAGGTCAAGATCTTGCTATTCTGCTTGAAGATACGAAGAAATCTCGGCTTCGGAGAGGTTCGGGTTCATGCGTAGAAAGGCGCGCGTCTGTCGCCACTCAGGAACAAGTCCAGCAAGAAGGACTGTGAGATACATCTCACGAGGGAAGTATCCCCCATTTTTCTCCAGTTGATCTCGTAGTGTACGGACGCGGTTGACGTAGTCCATGACATTTTTGTTTGTCATCATCTGCACACTTGTCAACTGCGAAAGAATCTTACTCACTGTTATTGTATCTTTTGCCATGTATACCCCCTTCAAGTGATTCCATGCAGTTTCAACTGGTGTAAAGCTTGAATGAAACGATCGGACGCCGAGCTGCTCCTTCGGCGATAAGTTCCGAACA